AAACAATTAAAAAATACAAAAATATTTAATTTTAAACTTATGTCTATAATAAAAATTATTAGTTTTTAAATTTTAAATCTTCTTAAATTTTTTGTTATCGATCAAAAACGCATTAACAAGAAACGTGGACGTAGTTAATTGAATTTAAAAGTGTATTCGTTTAAGCAGCTATGGGCAGCCAATTTTTATACCACAAGATCAATATCATATTGGTACTCAATTATATATCATTTTAAGCGGTTGATACAGGTTGATTTTTGAAAAAAATAAAAACTTATAACTCAAAATTATTGATGTTTGCATTGTTGAAAATATTTATACAAAATGCAAAAAATATTTTTTTGTGTGTGATTTAAATATTAATATAATACTATATAAGTCATTTATAAGTTAAAAAATAAACTTAAACCTCTTTAAAATAAGAAATTAAAGTTTTCAAAAGATGTAAAAAAATAAAATTTTCACACTTTTTTGTTGTTATTGATAAAAAGTATTTAAGGAAATATTTATAGAACAAATTTGGCGTTTTATTAAAAAATCATTTTTTAATAAAATATAATTTCTGGCTTATTAATATATTGAGCAAAATTTGCCTTTTTCAAAATTTCAAAATTTAAAAACTTTTTTGTATGGTTTTGCCGGCTTCTGACCCACTGTGAGATGGTGCTAATTATGAAACCTTAAAAACCAAAATATAAAACATTTGATGGCATAGTGCACGTTTTAAAATTAAAACTTGCGTTTAAAATATTTAACAATAGTTCATGAAAAGAATAGTTAACATTTAGTTCCTATAATTCAAGAGTTAGGAATAAATTGTGATAACTTACTCGAGGCTCTTCTACGTGAGTTTTGTAGACTGGAGGGTCTATACTATGAAAGTATTGACAAACCTGAAATGATAAATCTAAGGAAAACTCTAATAATATTTAAATGTAAATTCCGATCAAAGTTGTGGAAACATTCAAGAACCTTTTCTAGACTTTTAGAACACGAACGATCTTGGTTGGACAAAGATGTAACTGTTGACAAAAAAAAAACTTTGCTACAGGTCCAGGTTGAAAGTGCAAAAACTGGAAAGATTTAGGTGATAGAAGCAAAAGATCTACGGTAATTATAAATTATTTAAACTCAATTCAGTATAAAAAATAGTTTATAAGCTTAGAATTTTTTTAGAATAAAATTTTAAATATTTAATATTGTCATGTTTAAGGTTGTTAAATTGGCTGAACATTCTGCTGAAGCATTGGCATTAACTTCAATAAAAAGCCACTAGAGATCCTACCAAAAAAGATTTCGTTGTTCTCATGAAAAGTGCTACAAACTCTGAAAATGATAAAATCACAGAAATAAATTTTCCGATAAAAATAAAAACCGAAGATGCCTTGAGCTTAAAAACTCGGTGTGACCTTTCTGATGAACAGTATCAAATTATTAGAAATTAACTGGTAATACATAATGCAGGTATTTATCCTTCACTTCATGAAATTAATAATGAGAGACACAAATGTTATCCTGAGGGTTTAATTGTGACAGAAACATCTGGTTCAACTCCTCTACAGGGTATGTTTAATCATATTCTGACATGGATATTAACTTTTACGGAATGCCAAGACTCTATAAGAATGTTTGCTGAAATTAGGGGAAGGTTTAAAGATCTATTTTACTTTAAAGGTGGTTTTGATGGTACCTCCAGTCAAAGTGTCTATAAACAAAAATACACTGATAAAAATATTGGTGAGGCCCAAGTTAACGAGCAAAGTCTTTTCCAGACAGCTATTGTTCCGCTTAAACTAACCATCATGGACAAAAATGTATAGTTAAATAAGTAACCCTCTAGTACACATTACTGTAGACCCCTACATCTCAAATATAAAAAAGAAACGGAAGAACTGATACGAAATCAGTATGAACTTTTAAAAGCAGAAATGAATAGACTAGTCAAGTTTGAAGTAAAGTTAGAAGTAGAGGAAGGCAAACCGGATACGACTATCACATTTAAGACATTTATCACAAACTAGATTTAACTATGTTTGATGGTGAAGTAGTAAATGCCCTCAATAAAACTCTGTCCTTCCAATCATGTAATGTTTGCGGAGCTAAGCACAGTGAACTTAATAACCCAGCATTAATCAGATCTAAACCAATCTGTGAAAAAGCTATATCTTTGGGCCTTTCTACTCTGCATTGCTGGCTTTGATCTTTTGAATTTATTTTACATTTAGGATATAAGTTAGACATTAAAAAATACTCTGCCAAATTCTCTACTGAAAAAGCATCAGTAAAAAGTAGAAAAAAGAATATTCAACTGAGGTTTAGAGAGGAGCTAAGTATTATAGTTGATATGCCCAAACAGGGTTTTGGCAACATTAACGAAGGAAACACTGCCAGAAGGGCATTTGAAAATGCTGAAACTTTCGCTGATATTACGCGAGTGACAGTAGATGTAATTATTAGATTGAGGACAATCCTAATATCAGCATGTTTCTCTTATCAGTTGAACTTTGAAAGTTTTGGCCAGTATTGCTATGAAACTATAGCTCTTATACTCAAAAACTAATGCTGCTATGTGATTCCCCCAACTGTTCATAAACTCTTGGAACATGGTGTGCAGATATCTGAGCTATTAGAACTGATAATTGGTTACTACTCTGAAGAGTACTAAATAAGGAAATTCGCAAAGTTTGATTAAACCATAAAGCCAAGATATCTAGAAAGAATGTAAAGAAAAACCAGTACCAATACCTGTTGATTAGAAGTGATCATGTAATATCAAATATTTGTTTCAAAAAATAGAAGGTTTATTGAAGTTTTATTTTTGTTAATGCTGTAATAATGAAATAAAGCTTCTTTGTTAATATTAAGTTTTCTTTTTTGTTTTTTTTTGAAAGAAAAACTAGATAAGATAAATATTTGTTTTGTATTTAATATATTTTAATATTATTATAATATTTTTTAAATCCAATTTTTCTTTTTAATTAGTAAGTGTTTTTGGTTTGAAGAATTTAATTTTTTAAAATTAAGTCAATCTTTGTGCACGTAAAAGACTCTAACACGTATACGCGTGTGTAGTACGAGCCTTAGACACAAGACAAATTTACATTAAAAAATGTGGTATTTCTTTATATGGTATTTTGGATCAAAGAATCCGATTTTTTTATTTAAATCATATTTTGTTTAACATATTTTTGCTACCTATAAGGACCCCATCTATGCAGTGCCGCCGAGAGGGGAGGTCGCAAGGAACAGTTTGTCCCGGGCGGCAGATATCCAAGGTGCGCAAATAAAAAAAGGTACCTAAAAAAAAAAAAAGGTCCTTCATATATAATATAGAGAAATTTTGATAAAAAGGCGGCCCTGCATCTATGCCTCTAATGCCAGTCCGACCCTGTTCATAGATTTATTGGTTGATTTCATAAAAGATCAAAGTTTGAAATGTTTTTTGGAATTTTATCAGCCTATGGTAACGATGGGCCAATATCAAGAAGAAATTTGTTTAGCTTTTTAATTATGGCTTCTTTATTATAAATCATTTCTCCGTTAACTAAGAGTTTCAATGGCAAATTATTTTTCGGACATTTTTACCGATTATCTCCTTAATTACATTCCACGTTTTTTTTTCTGCTTCCCCGTGTTTTTTCCAACAACTTTGCACAATAAGCCAACGAGAATAACGTCAACGAGGTCTTAGTTATTCTCGTTGACTTATTGTGGGAATTATATCGTGATGAATAAGTGTATCTAAAAAACATTTGATTACCAAAGTCTAGTGAATTAGGAGTTCTTACCACAAGGTTTCATAATCAACAAGGAGTATTACCTTAAAGTTAAGCCCTATTTTACTTTAAAGTTATGCGCCATTTGCGCAAAGTTTAACAAAAAAACATCCGGATATGTGGAAGAACTTTTGCATCACAATAATGCACCTGCTCACTTATCATTTGTTTGTGAGAGACTTTTCTGTCTAAAAACAACACCAGAATGCAATTGCGACCATATTCACCTGATTTAGCTTCCTGTTACTAAAAAACCCTTGGCATAAGTGTGTTATATCGGGTGGGGACAACTTTGAAGAAAACAAATTGAAAATTGAAGAACAAACATTTTTTCATAAAAATATGAAGTCACCATACTTTTTGAAAACACATTCTTTTCTATACCGCATTATGGTGATTTGTGACTTCAAAACATGTTTTAAACAAAACAAACGTTTTCTATTTAAACAGTTCCTTTCTTCTGTTAGACAATCTGAAGTCTAAGATATACATAACAAGTCGGCAACTTTAGATAAGGTAAAATATAAAATCCAAAATGGCAGACACACTACAGGATTCGCTGCGTTTTGTAATAGCCACCGACTCTACCGAGTTTTGTAATAGCCACCGGCTTTTTACCGAGTCGCATACGAGGTTAAAGCAGTCATCAAACAATTTTGTTTCTTTTATTGTTCTTGTATCATACATACATTTCTTACAATTTTGTATCATACTGTAGAGCATTTCTTTGAAATCAAACTATTTAGATTTTTCTCAAAGAATTATTCATCTTTTGAGAAAATACTAAGAAAAATTAGTTGTTTTATCTATTTTTATCTAACAAAAATTATATGAATATTTTGATTTTTTTTCGTTTTTTTTACATTGATTTTCAGCCGTTCTCGGTTACAAAACCACTAGGATCTCTACAAGGATCCGAAATTTGTAAGGACCACTACAAAGATCCAAATCTTTGTAACATCTTTGTTTTAATTTGCGAACATGAGAAAGCCTCGATAGTTTAAGCTAACATTTAAAATTTTAAATTATCAGGATTCAGTTTGAAAACATGTTAACAAAATTTTTAAATTACAAACTAAAATTCAAATATATATACTTATATTAACAAATTTAAAAATATAATTTTATATGAACAAATTAAAAAATATATTTATATTAACAAATAAAAATTTAACAAATTTAAAATTAAAATATATTGTTTTTTATCGGTGCAAAACAAGCAGGTCGGTGCAAAAAACAATATATTTTAATTTTAAATTTTACATGTCGGTGTTTTTATATGTCGGTGTTAGTGTCAACTCATTGTCAACTTATTACAATTCAGTTGGTAATAATTTCACTTGATGCATTTTGATGCTGCAGTTTTTGCATTTTTATTTTTTTCATAAGGTTAAGACAGACAAATGCCCAGGTGATCAAGTAACGAGAGGGAACCATTGGCGCCATTAAATAATCCTCAGCAGACAGATCTTAATACAATAACTTAAGTAAAATATACGAAATATAAATATAAAACTAAAGGAAAATTGTAAAAAAAAAAAAAAAAACCTTTTAGACATGTAACAAACTTATTTTCTTCTCCTTTAATAACTTGATTGACAGGATCAAATAATATAATCCATTTTACAAAATTTGAACTTAAAAAGTCTCGGCAATAATCCCACTGGTCTAACTTTTCGATTTCGTATGTGTCTCCTTTTTCTTCGAAGTAAATACCTAACAGTTATAAAAATACATAACAGTAAAAAAAATCGACAGATTTATACAAATGAGTAAAGAAATGAATAACAAAAATAAAAAAATTAAAATCTGAAGGGGAAAATGCGATAATCTGAAAAACTTATTTTGCAAAAGTTCTTAAACATTTCGTCGCATGAGAATTATAGAGTTTTATCTGCCTTGTTTTATGTTGAAAGAATTTAACAACCAAAGTTTTAATTAATAATTAATAATAAAAACAAACCACTTAAAAAATGATATATTATATATCATTTTTTAAGTGGTTTAATATAAAATATGTTAAATAATGAAATAAAGATAAACTAAACAACTTATAATTTATAATTATAATGAACAACAGCTGTAAAACATGTATTAAATAAATATTGAAAGTTAAGTTCTCACAACATAAAAAAAGGCAGATAGAACCCTATAAATCTAATGTGACGATTTATAGTTATAAAACGTATGACAAATTATTCAACATAAAATTGTATTTCAACATATAGTTGTCTTGCCAACATACAGATATTTGTCTTGCCAACATACAGATATTTTTAGTAAATAATTAAATATAATTGCTCATTTATTCTCCTCCATTCTCCTCCTACTTATGCAACTTTCATTTATTCTCCTCCATTCTATCCTACTTCTGCAACTTTCACTTATTCTCCTTCATTCTATCCTACTTCTGCAACTTTCAAATAATTTTTTCAATTATGGTTCAACACCTTTTCAAAATATACAATGCAACAAATACAAGAAATTTCATTAATTTGAAATAAAAAACGTTGTTGATGAAAATAATGTCTATAAATTATTACAGCAAACAGCTTTCAAAATACTGTGGACAATCTTTGGTGGCTGTTGGTAACTCAAAAATTCTTCTAGCATCCTAAAAAATACAAAAAATCATGTATTACGCTTTATAACTAAAAGTAAACTTCACTGAAAATAAATAATAAACAAAAATTATAAACAAAAACAAATATCTAATAATCAATAGTTTAAGTTTACATCTACTAAATAATATATATATTTTTTATTTTCAACGTAACTTTTTGTTGGAAGTAAACTTTTTTAAAAAAAGTTTACTTACATATGTAAGATATATATTATACATATGTAAGAGCAATATTTAACATATATATAACATATGTATGTAACATGTATATAAGTCAAATACAATACCCTTGTAACATTTGTGCTTAGTACCAATATAGAATTTGTATAAAGTAAAAATAATTCTTAAAATTATTGTGAATGCAGATTAGAAACAGAGCAATAGTTAAACAAAAACTGGAAATGGAACCCATGGTTACAAAAAATGGAGTCTTATAGTACCCATAAAAAAATGGAATCTTGTAGTATCCATGGTTACAAAAAACAAAGATTGTAAAAGGAATAGTTTCATTTGTAATTATGATAAACACAAAAATGCATTGGCATCACTTTTAAAGGAGGTATTGACAATAAGGACCGACTGATGGTTCAGATAATGACGATAAGGGTTGACTGATTGTTGAGATGATGACAATAAGGACCTTTTTATATTTGATTGATTGAAGATGATGACGATAAGGAATTTTTATACTCGATTGATTGAAATTTTAGTTATTATAACCAAAAATACATCATACCAAACATACATGATACTAAGCATCAAATTTTCTGAATGGCAAAGTTAACATTAATCAACAGAAATCAAGCAATCAATCAACAAAAAATAAAAAACACAAACCAACCTGTCACTAAATTGTAAAATATTATTCTTTGCATTCACAAGTAAGATTTCATCAAAAATAAAATAACTTGGAAAAACTTTTTCAATTTCTGAAAATAAAAATATTTTATAAAAAAAGAAGTAAAACAAAAGAAATATATATTTTTTTAATAACTTTTGTTACTGCTCATTTCTTTCTGTGCCATATTAAGCAACTTTAATAAACGTTTTATTTCCATCTTCTCCTGCATAGTAAAATCCAAACTACATATGCTTATGTCCAAAATTAAAATCACAGCGCCATAAACATCTCTTATAGGAAAAACATAATGATGTTCTTTCAAATCTTTAGTAATAACAGTCATTGAAACATCAATACATTCGAATAAATGATTTCTATTACAAAAAAAAATAATAATAATAATTAAAAAAAAACAAATACATACATACATACACACACATACACATATATATATATATATATATATATATATATATATGTATGTATGTATGTATGTATGTATGTATGTATGTATGTATGTATGTATGTATGTATGTATGTATATATATATATATATACATATATATATATATATATATATATATATATATATATATATATATATATATATATATATATATATATATATATATATATATATATATATATATATATATATATATATATATATATATATATATATATATATATATATATATATATATATATATATATATATATATATATATATATATATATATATATAGTTACACTGGAAGACAACATGCAATGCTATCTTCTAGTATAACTATTTATTTAGTATTTAACATAATCAAATTTTAAAATTTTAAACATTAAATTTTTTTTGTGCTTTTGGCAAAAAAAATCCATTTAAAATTAGGCCTTTTTAAAAAAAACCTGTACAGTGGCACCTATTTATTACCTATAAGTTGCTTGTTTAGTCTGACCAAATGCTTATTGTGAATAATTATGATACTCAATGGAGTTATCAGTTGTTTTTCTATAAATTTTTTAAGAGCTGATTCTAGAAGATGCTGCAAGAACTAGTCTTTTGCAAATGCAATGGATCATAAAAAATATGTCTTAAGTTTAAATACAATGTATATTTAAAAAATAATAAATGCCACTTATGCATATTTAACATATAAACTTATCTTGTTTTTTTTTTTAATTTAGAACTTGCAAAAGTGTGTGCGAGTGTGATTATATGTGCGAGTATGATTATGTGTGCGAGTGTAATTATATGTGCAAGTGTAATTATGTGTACGAGTGTGTGCATGCGTAAGTAACATTAAAAAATACTTGTATTATTAATAGTAATATATAGACTCACTTAAAAATGTTTGAATTTCTTTTCACTTTTGTAGAATCATATGTTTTGAGGTAGTGATTCTTATTAAATTTCATTAATTTATGTAATGAGTTTGACTTGCTTGGCTGAAAAATTTACTTTAATTTATTAATTTCTAATTAATTGATACACTAAATAATCAACTACAATAAATTTTAAATATAAAATCTGTCAAACTTTACTTCTAAATCAGGTTCCACAAGGTAAATAACTACTTCATTGACACAAGAACACGATTTTAAAATCCAAAATACAGCATTTTCAGCAATCTGAATTTTTCTTTGAACCATATGTAACTCTTGATATGTTTGACTTAAAACCTTTGCAACTACCTATTATAAAATGGATGAAATCTTAAATAAAAAAATCTTTTTTAATTTTTTACATTTTTTCAATCAATTTACCTGATAAAAAGATATTTCTTGAGGAAAAAGTTTTGTTTCGTTAGGTTCAGCCATTGTATCAATCCCAAGAATTCCTATGACATTTTGTTCTTTGTCTTTTAAAGGAAACATATAAAAGAACCTTCATATTTCTATAAATAAAAGTCTTTATAAAACAAGCAAGAATGGAGTATTAAAATATAAGATAATATATAAGGTAAAAATAAAAATAAAAAGATTTATTAAAAATAACAATAAGATTATAATTATTTCTTAATTATGTTAACTATGTTATGTTAAACTTATATTTATATTAAAAATAACAACAAACTTCTAATGCACGAATAGGATTCCATAGAAACACGCCTCCGTGATTTAAAACTTCCTGTATATAAATTGGTTTTCCAGTGTCAACAGCATCAAAGCTAACACATTTCAAACCTCTGTGAAGCACTCTGTTAAGTAATATGTCTCTGTCATGTACACAAGTAGCCACATAACGCAAGTATTTCTTGTTATTATTTTCTGCACTTGTGAATACATTAGGTGCAACATGGAAACTTTTTTTTGCTGCAACATCATTAGTTTCTTCAGTATTGTATTTCTTATCAAGGGTATGCAAATTATTCATATTTTCAAACATTTTGTCTTCAAACATAGCCACATAAACGCTTATTTTCATCTTTCCATAATATTTTGCATATTGCTGGACAACTTGAATTGTTTGCTGAAATAAAGGGTCAACCATCATACCTGAGGTTTTCCCACTAAATGTAATAGTTTGTAACATTTTTGTTGTAAAACCATCATTATTGTCTTCTTCAGATAACCTCTGTAAAAAATATACTTTTATTTAAAATAAAAAAATTACAAAACAACAAAACTATTAAATTGTATTCCAACATTTAGTGTATGCACACAGATATATATATATATATATATATATATATATATATATATATATATATATATATATATATATATATATATATATATATATATATATATATATATCAAAATTGCTAAACAATCGAGTCAAAGTGGCTTAATACAGGCAATATTGGTGTTTTTTTTTTAATTTATCATATTCTAAGGGTAGTTAAGCTATTTTAATTCATTGGAACTGTTTCTTCATGGTAAAAAAAGTTATTTATCTCACAATTGTTGAAGCCTTTATAGACAAGTAGCACTAGGGTAATTCCACATCAAATCATCCAAAACTTAGGAAATTTTGAACCATGGTTCCTCAAATTTTTTAAAAACTTCTTTGGCTGTTGCATCTTTAATAAAAAAGTTAAAACATAAAATTTTAGCTAAAAATGTTAAGCGGCTGACAAGATACTGCAATTTTAACATTGACCTGGTTTCCCAAAATGACCCGGTTTTCATAACATTCTAAAAAAACATTTTTTTTTAAAAAAATAAGAAATAAAAATGGCAAAAATAGGAAAATAAATATATATAATGTTTTTTTGATGCTGAATTCAATAAATGTATTTAAAATGCTGAAATATAAAAGGAACATGCTTAAAAGTTAATAAAACAACTAGTTTCTATAATCCAACTTTGGGGCCCAATATCTCAAAACACCCCCGTCAAATTTTTTTTTTTTTTGCTGTTAATATTTTCAGCTGCTTATAATCTTACTAGCATCAAAATATCTAACTGGAAAAACAACTAAAACATATGTAACTTTAATTTTAAAGATATATCAAATTTTCAATAAATTAGTTTAAAAAACTTGCAAATAGAATTTTGTAAAATATTAAATTTAGTTATATTTAAGGAAGTCTTAATTATATAATAAATTTGTTATTTGATCTTAACAACTGAAAAAAACATCCTGTTTTGTTTTTAAAATCTGACAAGGTGTGATATTGAAGTGCATTTGTTTTTAAAATTTTGACAACTATAGTTTGTAAAAGTTTATAAAAACTAGTTTATAAAAAGTTCAGTTATAACAACATTTATCGGTAAAATTTTATTTAAATTTTAAAAATTTGATATATATAGATTGTATATATATATATATATATATATATATATATATATATATATATATATATATATATATATATATATATATATATATATATATATATATATATATATATATATATTTATATATATATATATATATATATATATATATATATATATTATTTATAAAAAAAATTAACAATATCTGTCAATGTAAAAAATTATACAACAAAAGGATTCTGAAAAGGTTTGAATTATTTCTATATTTATTTTTTTTTTACTCAAAATTATGTAGAAAAGAACAATTTTTTCCTTTTTTTTTAGGAAATACATTCATACTAAGTAACTTATTATAAGATGTGTTCTATTGGTTTATTGACATCAGATGAATGCAATGGCCAACAAGATGTTATTGAAACTTTAAGCAATGAAGAAAAAATAACTATATCATTACGCTGTAACATTGAGTTATCAAACTTAACGATATTATGTGAAAGACATACTACAAAATATTTGAAATTGTATCCTATATGGCAGAAAGCATGTTGTGATCCATTCAATAAACATACAAAGAAAATCACAAGTAAATAGATGTAGAATTTAAATATTATATATATATATATATATATATATATATATATATATATATATATATATATATATATATATATATATATATATATATATATATATATATATATATATATATATATATATATATACTTTTTTAACTTGTATTTTCTAAAACATAAACAATGTTTTGAACAATTGTGCAGATAAGCTTTATACAATTCAATTACTTTTAGAAAATCTCATACTAGTTACAATAAATGAGTCACAAGTCATGATGAGGAGTAGTTTGAATATTGCTCCTGGGAAGAAACTTTGCAAACCTTGTAAGCAAAAGATTGCCATAAAAAAAGATCTTAAAGAAAAGAAACAAAACCAGGAACAAGATGAGGATTTTCTAATACCATCATTCAAATCAAAAAGACAGGAGATCAATGAAGAACTCAAAAATTTTAATATATCTCCTCTAAAATCTCATTCAAAGTCATCAAAACATATTCTCTCAGAAAGAAAGCGAAAAATTGCGCGCATCAACGAAATGGTAAATAACATTACTAGAAAAACTGAAAGTCAAGTCAATGTTCCATCAAAACTGTGTTATGAAACAAATAACATGAAAAAGAAAGCTAAAAACTTTGATGAAATTATGAGCTTGATAAAAGAAAAAATTCTATGTTCTGACAAAAGGACAATTGTTCAACTTCTAACACTGGCACCCCCAAGTTGGTCGATATTAGAAGTACAAAATAACTTTGCAGTTACAGAATACCAAGCAAAAATGGCTAGATAAATTTTTAATAAAAAAGGATTGTTAGCTATCTCTCAATTGTATAAAGGTAAAGTCTTACACAAAGAAATAGAAGATTCTGTTAAATTGTTTTATGACTCAAGTGATTTATGTAGAACTATGTCTGGAAAAAAAGATTATGTTAGCATTCAAAAGAATATCCATAAACAAAAAAAACTGCTTTTGTGTAATTTAAAAGAACTATATGTATTATACAAAGAAAACAATCCAGAAATACAAATAAGTTACTCAAAATTTGCTTCACTTAGACAAATTATCATTATTGGGGACTTTGCTGAAATATACTTTTGTAGTCCAAGATGAAATACAAAGCTATCATTGGAACACCCAACAATGTTCTTTACATCCATTAGTGATATACTATAAAGATGATAAAGGTGTACTGAAACATATTTCTTATTGTTTTATATCAGACGAGATTACACATGATGTAACTTATGTGTACAAAATATTTCAACTAATCATACCAATATTAAAAACAAAATTTTCCAATCTGTCCAAATTACATCTATTTACTGATGGTTGCGCAGGACAGTACAAAAATTGTAAAAGCTTTTACAATCTATGCCAACTAGAGAGCGAATTTTCCCTTAAAGTTGAATGGAATTTTTTTGCCACGTCACACGGAAAGTCACCATGCGATGGGATTGGCGGCACTGTAAAAAGGTTAACAGCACAAGAAAGTTTAAAACGACCATACAGAAACCAAATTCTCACATCTGAAGCTATGTATGAATTTTGTATTGAGAAAATCAAGGTTGTTAACTTCATTTACATAAAGGGGATAGACTTACAATTGCAATGTGAGAAGCAAAAAGAAAGGTACACTGGTGTAACAACTCTACCTGGTACTCGTAGCTTTCATCAATTTATACATCTTGGAGATAACAGGGTTGGGGCAAAGAGGTGTAGTACAGACACTAATTATACAATAATTCACAACCTTAAAAAGAAACAAGATATATTTCAACTTGATACTGTCACTTTAGGAGGTTATGTAGCTGTAGTCTATGATGATAAGTGGTGGATCGGCATTGTAACTGAAACTAACCTAGAAGAAGTTGATGTTAAAGTTAAGTTTCTTCACCCAAAAGGTCCATCAATCTGTTTTAACTGGCCTGAAAGAGAGGACTACTGTTTTATTCCTTACACCAACATATTGAAAAAACTATCTGTTCCACAAGCTTGCTCTAGTTCCGGTAGAAACTATGTGTTTGAAAATGCTGAAATAGAAGAAGTACAAGTAAAATGGGAACAATATTGTGAACTACAAACACAGTCAAAATAACTTATTTTTATTTTATTCAAATTAACTTATTTTTATTTTATTTACAAACATTTTTTGGGAATTTTTTGAAAAAGTAATACATCTTAGATATTAAAGTTTTATATGTTTCAGTTGTTTTTCCAGTTAGATATTTTGTGCCTAGTAAGATTATAAGCAGCTGAATATATTAACAGCAAAAAAAAAAAAAAAAAATTTGACGGGGGTGTTTTGAGATATTGGGCCCCAAAGTTGGTTTATAGAAACTTGTTGTTTTATTAACTTTTAAGCTTGTTCCTTTTATATTTCAGCATTTTAAGTACATTTATTGAATTCAGCATCAAAAAATTATTATATATGTTTATTTTTACATTTTTGCCATTTTTATTTCTTATTTTTTAAAGAAAAAGATATTTTTAGAATGTTATGTAAACCGGGTCATTTTAGGAAACCAGGTCAATATTAAAATCGCAGTATCTTGTCAACCGCTCAACATTTTTGGCTGAAATTTTGCATGCAATTTTTTTTTATAATTAGGAATAATGTGTCAAAATATAAAACAAAAAGAAGACACATGGTTCAATGGACTGGGTGATTTGATGTGGAATTACCCACTAGGGATCATTTACTGTTTCCTGACTCCCCATTGTACCCGATTAAAAAGCAACAGTTTTAACTTAAAACACTTCTAATTCCCTCCTAATTTACCACAAATATTAAATTTTTCGCCACTAACTTTCACTACTAGTCTTGTAAAAGAAATATTATTTAGTTTCAGAAATGTTCATGGTAAACATATGAATTTGACTACAGAAATATGTCAACTTGTTTCGTTGATTCAATATGACTACACAAAAAAATTATTTTTGTAATTCGTGAAAAGTAAGGAAAAAGTTTTTTATATTATTGTTCCTTTACATTTAAAATGTTATTTTTAACATTAGTTTAACAATAAAGTATTAACCGCGTCCTGATAATGACGCTTTAATACAAACATTTAGGTAGCATTAGGGATCATAGTTTGGGTAAAATTTAAAAATCTCATACATGAGTTGCGGATTTTTTTTTCAGGTTTCAATGCTTTTTTTTTTTTTTGGAGGGGGAGGGGGGGGGGGAGAGGGGGAAAACCTTAAAAAAAACTTAAACTGGCAATAAGAGGATTTCCTCGAATTGTTAATCTGAAGACGTATTCGGTAAGCAGATAAATAAA